ATAGCCATGTTATAGCTCATTCGCAGTCACCACGTGAGAACTGGGGCGCCATTGCTTTCCGTTCTGATTTTAGGGCCCTTCCTTCCACGGGCTAGGATTCAAGGTAAAGGAGAGGCCTGTTTTCAATGGCCTGGGAGGGAAGAATTGCCCCAGTTTTAAATGCTGAGACCCTCTGCTACTGGAGAGTCTGTTTCTTTCAGTCCGAGAAATGCCACCCAGGGATTCTGTAAAATACGAACACTATTCCAGGTGGCGAGCCGTTGTGGGATGTGGTCATGTTCTAGTCTGGGCAGCTGCAGCACTTTGTGGAGAACGCCACATCATCCTGGTGCAGCTCCCCCACCATCCCCTAGCCCCCATGCTCACAGGCAGCACATGAGCTCGCCCGCGTGGGAACAGAGGTTTGTCAGGAGTACCCCAGACGCAAGATGGGAGGGCTGCCTCAAGGCAGACGCTCCAACTTGATGGAGCCGGAGTCGGGCAGGTCGACCAGAAGGGCCTTGGAACTAGGGACCTCATCTCACGATCACTGGGGTGCCACTGTAAAGTGTGAAAATGAATGGATGCGCGGTGGGAGTGTGAACACAGGAGACCCCTCAAAGACAAAGGAAGTGGGTTTGTAAGACAGGAAGGATGGGCCTGGCTTTGTTTTTTCTTCACTTGAGCAGCTTTGTGCCTAGGACCGCTCCATGAGGAGGCCACCTGCTGGGACCCGGGGCTACCTCACAGTCTTCACGGCTCCGGGCAGATGCGGCCTGGGCCTCTCCCTGCTCATCCTAACTTCCTGCTGACTGCTGCCGGCTCCCAGGGCCCAGTGCTGGGTGCCCTCGCCATCAGGTTCCCCTGGGAGGTGGAGGCAGCTGCATCTCTGCCCCACAAGCCCAGGCCAAGGGCTGGAGAGGAAAGTACAATGCGTGCAGGCGAGTGAGGCCACCATGCCCTAAGGAGAGGAAAGCATCACTCCTGAGTTCAAAGGAGAGTCAGACTCAAGCTCCAGAAAGACCACCAACTTCCCACCGGTTCCCACAGTGTCACTGGGAACTCCCCTCTGTACCCGCTCTTGCAAGCTGCCCCTGTAGAACTTGGAAGAAAGCCTCGTGCAAGTGTTGATTTTCAGAACGCGAACGTGAACAGGAAATGAACAGGCATGAATTCACCCCAGATGACATGCATGTACGGTGGCCCCAGCAGCCACAATCCAGGTACCAGACTGGCAGTCCTGTGGGCAGAGTTGGGCACACTCACTGGCGCTCGCCTTCTGGCTGCTGCTTCTCCAGCCTCTCAGAGCCCAGTGTCCCCACTGCAGGAACCCCCAGACCTGCTGCACAGGCACCAGTATTGGCCAGAAGTCAGCTGGGCTGCCTCTGCAGTACGTCCTGGGAGACAGCAATGCTCTTCAGGCATGCCGGACATCACAGCGCCCACATTCAGGCAGAGTAGACTATTCCGCTGCCTCGGACACAGCCTCTTCACCTTCAGTCAGCACAGAGTGAGCTCCTGTCTCAGTGCAAAAGAGTGTCTGGTGCTGAACCATCCGCCTCTCTCAGTCGGGCCGCCAGGCCTGCGTGGTGAAGTGCTTCCTGAGCACTGGTGTGTGACTGCTTACTGGAAGGACTGAATCATGACAGTGAGCACATGCCCCAATGTCACTTCCAGCTCATGGTGACCCTTTGTTCAGTAGAAGCAAACATCGTGCAGACGGCGCCACCTTCACAGTTGTTGCTATGTTTGAGCCCCTCCCTTGTTGCTGCCACATCTATGTAAGTCGATCCCACTGAGGGGTCTTCCTCCTTTTCGCTGACCCTCGAGCAGAGGATAAAACAAGTGTCTCTCTCCTTCAAACTGCAGCAGCACTCCTGCCCCCTGGCCACTGGACTGGTGACCCTTGGATGATGTGGTTATTCCGCATCTCATTCGTGTGTGTCCTCAAAGCTGTGGAGAGTGCCGATTCCCTGGATGAGCAGCAGCGCTCGCTGAGGGCCAAGTCTGCCCATATTCCCAGGTCTGTCTGCCTCCTTGACCCACCCAAATTTGGAATAAAATGAAATGTCGTCTTCTCTTCAATGGCATACCCCTGAAATCGGCTTTCCCATCAGCAGAGAAGATCTCAGCTTAGAGTCTGTCCTTTCAGAGCCAGGTCCCCACATCCAGGATGCTGCTCTGGTCCTGGAAGCTTACGTCGTCGGTGAGGTGAGGAGCTAGATCTGGGGAAGGACTGGGAGTCAGCAAGATGAGGACGCTGTCCTGGGCTTTCCCCCAAAACTCGGTTTGCTCCCCTTCCAAGACTGAGACTCAAGGGGAATACACGAGCAGACACATGTTCTGACTGGTGACCATCATAAGGGGAAGTGTGGGAAAAACAGCAGTGAAGCTGCAAGCTAAGTCCAACCATGTTCAATGTACTCCTGTGAACCCGGGTAGAGACCTGGTTGGCCAGCAGTGTGGCAAGACCTGGGAACTCTTAGGCCCAGAGTCAGTGACATAGCCACAGAGGACTAGAGTGGAGAGTGAAGCGTCCACCTGGTAACAAGAGAGAGTATATGCACAAGAACACCCACACTTGCAGATAATACCCACTCGACCTGGCTTCAATGACCGGATGATCAGAGCTCAACAAGAAAAAGAAAGAAGAGGAAAAAAAGATACAATTTGATGAACTTGACCTACACCTATGGATGCAGTAGCTCAAAAGAGGGAACAAGTCCTTACAGCAAGGATCATTCCCATCCCCTCAATACACAGGATAGACAGGAATAGGCAACTTGAACATTGGCTACCTAAAATGGGGTGCGGGTAGGGCTACAAAGGCAAGAAGTAACTGGCTTACAAGCTTTCAAGAGGGAACCTGGGTGCAGAGGAAGGTAGAATCTCCACTGACTAGTATATCCAATATGTCTGGGCGGGGCTGATGAAAGGAGATGGGGATAGGTCTCTTGTGATACAATAGTGAATAATTGTTATCAGGACTGACTGTGAGGGTTGGAAATGTAAAGGTAGACATTTTGTGTCAAAAGGAGGGGAGTGATTAACTTTGCAGCCCAGGAGGGAAGGTCCCTGGCACCATCAAGGGAGAAGAGCGGAGAGCGGGACCCTACCCAGAGAAGCAGTAACACCAGAGATGGAGGCAGAGATGGTGACGTGGAGAGATGAAGCAGCTGGGGACTTCAGCGAGGGAGAGAGGCTGTGTGCTGATGACCGAGGGGCAGACTTGCGGAGTATACCCTTTGGTTGGTTGATGATGCATGGAGTGGATTGTAACCATGGCAATGTAACGATACATGATAGGATGAATGTAAAGCTAATGTTCTCCCATGTAAACTATGACATTCACAATAAAACATTTAAAAAAAAAAAACTGTCTGCTGCTAAGGCTTCATGAGAGACGGAGCCAGTGGAGGGGTCCAGACTCACGTATGTGGTCAGTGGGAGGCCTTCTGAGGCCATGAGGCAGGCTGGCAGGGGACGGGTATCATCCTGCGGGTCTGGGAAGGCTACTGAGTGTAAGCAACTGCTGTTCTGGTGTGGCTGTATGGTAAGCACTGAACTGCTCACCATAAGGCCGGCAGCCGCTTTTCAGAAACCCTATCCAGAGTGGCTATGACATTCACCACCACCACTACTACCTTTGGAGAAGTCCTCAGTCAAGCTTTATTTAGCTTACTGAACATTCATTCATGTCGTCTTACACAGACACCTTGGTGTGTGTACACTGTTGTTGGCCACTGTCAACTCAGTTCTGCCTTACAGCAACCCCATGTTGCAGAAAAGAACAACCTTGTTGGTTTTCCTCGTCTTACTCCTTGGAGCCACTGGGTAGGTTAGAACTCCCAACTTTGCAGTTAGCAGCCAAGTGAGTAACTGTAGCACCCAGGCTTCATATGAGTCCATCTCACCTCCATATTGACAACACAAACTTCTGTGATGCAATGGGGATGGAGTTGGCTGTTTCTCACAGGACGAGTCCTTGAAGTGAAACTGCTGAGTTGGAGGGACGGGACGCTCGGTTCTCAGACTTCGAGTCCTGCTCTTGCTCATCATCTCCCTTTGTCCGTCCTGCCCCGGGTCTCCCGCTCCACATCTACCATGGTCTATCCACCTGAGCGGATCTCACAGGAGTGTGTCTGCTGTTCCCGTTCTGAACGGCTTCTCCGGTCAGAGCCTGTGTGTTCTGGTGCTGGCCTTACAGAGGGCTCGGCCAGGGATGAGGTGAAGACTGCGCAGCACCAGGCAATGTGAGTCAGGACCAACTCGATGGCACTGAACACCAACCTTGTCCGAAGGGCTGAACTTGGCAGCCATGACCTCAGACTGTCCAGTGGCGCCCTGCTCGCTGGGGACCTTTGAGAGGCGCTGTCCCCAGCACACTACAGTACTGAGGCTCAGTATTGACCAGAACCATTTAGAAGCCAAGCGTCCGCACTTTGTCCTTTGGCATCTTGAATTACTTGGGTGGCTTTTTCCAGGAAGGCCTGATCAACCTCAGCACATTTCCCAATTTACAGTCAAAGTGGAGGCTCGCAGCCCCTAAGTGAGCGTCTTCTGGTGGAGGCTGGGGTGTCTCCACTAATCAGGAGGTTCTCCAGGCAGATCAGGGACCCCTCCTCCTGTTTCCACACTTGGCCACCAGCGGTGCCTAGTGAGCAGGTGCCCCATTCCCAGGCACCGGGCTTACCTGTGAGTGGAAGGTGGGTCAGGGTTTGGATTCCTGCCGTGCATTGTTGGTAACTCGGCTGTGGTGCAGGCTGCTTGAGGTGCTGGGGTCTCACGGCTGGCCCTCGTAGAGGGAGCAGTGGTAACCAGAGAGGTCCATCACATTGTAGCACTCAGTGGACGCTGGTCTCCTTGCTTTGGGATTCCATGGAATACCTTCAAGGGCAGCCTTCAGCCTTGGGCTCCTCTTGTCTCCCCAGCCCCCAGAGACCAGTGGCTCCCCAAAGTCTGCCCACACAGTTTCATGGTATGAGGCGTGACCAGCTCTGTGTCCTGCAGGTCACCTGGATGTCAGCATGGCGGCCACCAACCTAGAGAACCAGCTGCACAGTGCGCAGAAGAACCTGCTATTCCTGCAGAGGGAGCACGCCAGCACACTGCAAGGGCTGCATGCTGAGGTCCGCCGGCTGCAGCAGCACTGCACAGGTACCGGGGCCGGGGACGCTGGCGAGCCGGAAAACAAGCCTGGCCTCAGACCCTTGGGGTTCAGAGACTCCAGGTGTAAAGAGCACAGAGACCACCTCAGAGCCTCAGTGAAGGGACTCCAGGGATACAGGGACCCCCTGAGTGCAGACACCCTGGACCCCAGTAACCCCCTGGGGCACAAGGACCCCAGGGCACAGGGCAGGACAGAAGGGACAGTCTTAGCTCTCAGGGCTCCAGACCAGGCTGGGCTTCTTGGGGGTGGGGACAGGCAGTGAGTGGGGGAGGTCCCTTAGGGCAGAGCTGAGATGAGGTGATGCCCCACACGTGGCGGTTAGAACTGACCGTGCAGTTTGGAAGCAGTTTGAGATGTCGCGTGTGGTCCCCAGCATAAGCCCCTCTAGTTCTTGGTTGCTAGGATGTGTTTAAGGGGGCTGGGAATAGAGTCTCTGGGGAAAGCAGGGTCCCCCGGTAGGTATCCCAGCATGGATGATCTCCACTTTCCCCCACCTGCCTACAGGGCTACCAGATACTCCTCTTTCCTGGTTAGATGAGCTGGCTAACCAGGAGACTAACTTACGGCTTGTCAGAGCTGATGAGCACTTTGATACAAATTGTACCCATCCCAAATTGATGTCTGTCGTTTGCTTTGTAGATTTAACATATGAGCTGACTGTCAAAAGTTCAGATCTGACAGGTAAGAGCGCCCTCCCTCAGCAAAGTGGTGTATCCTTCCTGAGTCCACATGGCTCCGATTGTTTTCTTGTCTCTCACTCAGGCCAGGCTGCTCTCGGGAAAGAAGATGGGAAGGGAGGCTGGGCCCTAGGCCATGAGCAAGCAATTACCAGTGTACCAGGAGGAGTGATTTTTATGTTCTTTTGATGGACACATTTGGAGTATCTGTGATTGCTTTGCTGGGATTTCTGATTGTTCTAGAAGGAATGTGTGTTGCTTCTATCATCAAAAGGTCAGACTAGGTGTGTGAGTCACACCAGAAAGACCGAGGCCAGAGAGCAGGTCTGGGCAGCCTAGCCCTCCAGTAGTCCCTGGGACTCAGCACACACCCCACCCGGACTGGGCCACGACTGCTCTCTCTTGGGCACTTGAGTGGCCAGGTGACTAGAAACCCACCAAAGCACCCCCCCCAATCAGAGTGCCCATGGCCTCAGGGAACCCCAAAGGGTGTCAGTCCAGTGGCTGCTGGGGCACAGCGCACAGGAAACTGGGCCTTCCCAGCAGCATCTGGGACTGTTGACACTGGCCTGCTCTCCGAGTAGGGAGGGGCTTAACCAGTACAGAGCATGCTGGAGTCAGTAAGATACACACTGCGTCTACCAATAGCTACTGGCTGTCCCTGGGGGTCCATCTGTGACCAAATGCCAAGTATTTTCCTAGCTGTCCACGGAAGAAAGACAAGTTCTGCTTGGGCCTAGGGGGCCGCTGAATCGGAATCAACTCAGTGACAAAGAGTTTGGTTTTGGTCTGCTTTCTGTAATAAACTGGAGAGCCAAGAGCTGGCAGGGGCTCAGAGAGCACTTCACTTCATGTCCCCATTCCAGGGTGGGAACGGAGCTGCTGACACAAGTGTAGGAGCAGGGCCCCTCGCCCACCCTACAGCCCTGTCTCACCTGGCCTTTCCCTCCTCCTCCAGGGGAGGGAGACCGGTCTGACTGGCCCGGCCTTCACACAGCTTCTGCCCCATGGGCTCCTAATCCAGCCCTCTGGCTTCTTGTTCCAGGCGATGGAACTTCTAGGAGCAGTGAGCTGAAGAAAAGGTGTGAGCAGCTGGAGGCTCAGCTGAGCTCCCAGGACCAGGAGAAGAGCGAGTTGCTGCAGGAGCTAGAACAGAAGAAGGCCATGATCTCGGTGCTGGAGAACACGGTCAAGGAGCGCGAGAAGAAATACCTGGAGGAGCTCAAGGTCAAGAGCCACAAGCTGAACATGCTGTCCAACGAGCTGGAGCAGCGGGCTGGCACCATCGCCTACCTGACGGCGCAGCTGCACGCCACCAAGAAGAAGCTGCTGAGCGTCAGTGGGGCGGCAGAGGCCAGCCCATCGGGCAGCCCATCTGCCCAGAGGTCCGTGCTGGCCAGCTACAAGCCGGCCCCGCCTAAGGACAAGCTGCCCGAGACGCCGCGCCGGCGCATGAAGAAGAGCCTCTCGGCCCCCCTGCACCCCGAGTTTGAGGAGGTCTACAGATTCGGAGCCGAGAGCCGCAGACTGCTGTTGCGTGAGCCTGTGGATGCGATGCCCGACCCCACCCCGTTCCTGCTGGCCCGGGAGTCGGCCGAGGTCCACCTGGTTAAGGAGCGACCCCTTGTCATTCCCCCAATTGCTTCTGACCGAGGCGGCAGCGGCGCCAGTGAGCAGCCCAGCGTGGTGCGAGACAAGAAGGCGCACGTGGGGGTTGCCCACCGCATCCAGCACGTGGCCCCACCCCCACAGCCCGAGGTGGAGACACTGGCGGTGGACCAGGTGAACAGCGGCGACAAGGTGGTGCGTAAGCACTCAGGAACGGACAGAACTGTGTGAGGGGCTATGATGTCGCGGGGAGCCCTTAGCCACACCACGTCCCCTCCAGTCCCCTGCATGCCACAGTCCCCTCCTGCTCTGGCCCAACTGACACCATATACGTGTCCTCACTGCAGAGTGTCTGTATGCACCGCTGTGGCCACACACCCTGTGCCGCCGACCCGCTTGCTTCTAGCATCATCCGTGTAGCCCAAGCGCACTCGTGGGCGGAGCGCAGCCTGTGCCCCCCACGGTTTCCCCGGGCCTTCTCCTCCGCGGCCAGGTCAGTGCACACCTCGGGTCCCTGCCCCTCGGCTTCCAGGACAGCCTGTCCGGTGGCCCTGCTCCCCAACCTCTCAGTCCCGGGGCGCCTTCCCGGGCGGCACAGATGAGGCGACTGTACGTGTCATGTCTCAGGAGCTTTAATAAGACAAAGTTACTCTCCCACCAGACCGGAATGTGTGGTCATAGTTTTTGTTAGTTTGATCCACAATGTTCAAGATCCCAACAAACTTTATTTTCTAAACCTGCCTTCTATCTGTTTTGTGTCTTTTATTACCCGTGGGGGACGAGAGGGAACGCAGGCCCCACGCGGTCACTTACTGCATCCGGAGGCTCAGTCTCTGGGTGCAGTCCTCTGTGAATGGCATCCCGAGGTCGGTTCTGCTCTCCAGGGGTGGTCCTGGTGCTCAGCCCACCTGTGGCCCTGCCTGTAACCCACCTGGCCAGACTTTGGCTCCCCCCGACACACACACACAGAGCTATCCTGCCCCACTCAGGCCCAGGAAGGAGCTGGGCACAGAGAGTTCTAGAAGGGGAAAGCAGCTGTCAGACCACTCCTGTTCCAGGCCCAGCCGACTGCCAGGTTGGGGAGGCTGGGCTCTCTCTGCCTGTCTGTCCGCCCCAACACTGTCTGCACTAGATTCTCAGCTGGGCCGGGCACCTGTGCTGTGCCAAGCGCTGCCTCCCAGAAAGAAAAGAAAACGCAACACATCTTAAAATGCTCTATGGACTTTATGAATTCAGTCTCCTAGAATGAAACAAAAGTTTAAACAATAAAGAAGTCATCATGTTCGTGTGTCTGGGGAGAGACGCAAACTGCTGGTTTCAGGTTCCAGACAGCTGTGTGTCGGTCCAGGCCCCCCACCCCGTGCACACACCTGGGGGCCTTCCATCCTTGCTCACGAACCCTAGTCAGAGTTCAGGGTCAGACACACGCCCTGCAGCACCCAGTGAGAGATGTGCCGCGTGGTGAAGAGGTCGGCTTCAAACACCAGCCCAACCCCCATGGCATTTCTCCTCATGGAGGTGGTGTACACAGGCGTCCGAAAGGTGTTCTGCGAAGGAAAAGCAGCCGTGTGGACATGCTCTGGGCACCCCGGGCCCCTTGGCTGGCTCTCATGGGGCCAGGGCCTCACACAGGGTCCGTACTGTCTGATTCAAGCAGTTCTCAGAGAATTTCCCAGACAGGGAGGGGATCCCCTGAGATTCTGGAGCTGAAACTGAGCCATTCCTAGGACGGCCTGCTCTCACACAAGTGGGTCCCAAAGGCGTCCCTGGCCCGTCAGAGGTAGGAGGCGGATGGGTGACGGCAGCAGCCCCAGTTTCTCCAGCCAGCAGACAGTAGAGGGGAACCCAGGCAGCAGCCACCTCCCCTCTCACCTGCAGTTTGAGGCGGTGGGCTTCAATGGGGATAATCTTCAGAATGGGCAGGTCAACCACCAGCACCTTGGGTTTGCTTTTAACAAGGCAGCCCCTCTCGATGTCCCAGCCAGCCCCTTCTAGATACAGGCCTGAGACGAAGCAGCCTAGAGACACCAAGAAGGGACCAGGTTGCCAGCGGACGGCCATGGCCAGTACAGAGTTCCTGCTCTCCTTCCCATGTCTGGGGACCTCTCCACTTTGCATGGCCCGCCCTGTGGCCACTGCCCAGGGGACGAAAGATAAGCCCTCAACAGTGGCCTGTCCAAGCCTCCCCCAACATAGCCCCCCTGCAGCCACCACCCGGCGGGGAAATTATGCCTTTACCAGGGGCTGTCCAGGTCTTCCCTCAGCATACCTACCCTACAGCCACCACCTGGGGGGAGGGGGTGAAATGCGCCTTTACCAGGGACTTCCAAGCCTCCCACACCCTGGGCATTCAGGCTGGGATGGGGAGACAGGACAGGGAGCAGGGGGTACAAGCCTTAACAAGTGGGGGTCTCTGGGGACTGGAGAAGACGTGAAGACAAGCAGAGAGAAAGGGCAGCCCAGACACTGGCCTGGACAGTGGCGGCCGGGACCTGAGCTCTCCAGAGCTCATAAACCATTGAAGCCAGCTCAAGAGGGCTCTCATCGCATGCAGTCCAAGGGCCCGGACCCAGGAAACACCATTTCCAGCTGAACATTGCATGTTCAGTAGCCACTATCTAGGGTACTTGACGTTACAGCATCAGTACAGTACAACAAGGTCAGTCCATACACCTTTCTGGCTCCGTGTCCCTGACCCTCCAGGGCTTAGGGAGGCTGCCTGGTGGTCTAGGAGCCCCTTGCCTACCCTTGCCCACAGGTGGAATGAACATGGGTTCCGGGCTTCCCTGACAACCCCAAACCACTACTACTCTTGGTTTGCCCCAAAAGACACTCGGGGACTGCTGCACACGATCAGGAAATCTGGGCGTGGGCCTGTGTGCGCCCCGTGATGAAGTGCTGGGCTGACGGTACCTTGTCCTGCCCGTTCATTCACTTCATCTGCGTCGCGGAACTTGGTCACCTGCGTGAACAAGGTGGAGCGGTCCAGTGGCCAGCCATTCTTCCGGCAGGTAGCTTGCACCAGTGCTGTGAGGTAAGACTCTGGGATGTGCAGCCCCGAGAGCCACATCACACCGGGCTCTCCCTCCGTGACCTGCAGGGACATGGCAGCTAGTGGGAGGGGGCCACCACCAGCAATGCCGGGAGTTAGCTGGCCAGCCACATTCGGTAGAGCATAACACGTGCTTCATCTGAGCGTGAAGAGGGTGGGGGGAACCAAGCTGGCTTGTGAGAATGCACATGAAGCATCTATAGATACATTGTATACAAATGTGGTGGTTGGTTGGTTATGTGCTGTGGAGTCAGTTCCGACTCATAGCGACCCTGCACAGGGCTCCCGAGGCTGTAAATCTAGTGGTTACGAATCCGACTGCGAACCTCAAGGTCGGAAGTTCGAAACTACCAGCCGTTCCGTGGGAGAAATGAGACTTTCTGCTCCTGTAAAGATTTACAGCCTCAGAAACGCTGTGCAGGGTCACTGTGAGTCAGAACCCACTCCACGGTACTTAACAACAACAACATATACAAACATATTGAATATTATATATAATCAGCTCAAAAT